GGCACAAATTTCTTAAAGCTAACTCTAGTGTGAGTCACTAACTCTCTTTGTACATAATTCATGTACTATATAAGGTCAAATGCATGTCGGTTTTCCAAACACATCTGATGCTAGAGGAATTAATATTAATTTGGTTTTGACAGATTTTAGTGGTTGCTGTGTCAGACTAACTTGAGGCTCTGCTTACTTGGCAGTGATTCACAGAGAGCTGATCATTGCATGGTTGGGTTTTATCAAGTGGGTTTATGAACAGTTAGCAGGTTAGGTCTCAAAGATGGCTCTTTGAACAACCTCATAATAGAGAAACTGAGATTGTCTTTGATTTGGAGAACAAACATCAAGTCACGGTAAAGCCAAGAGCAAACGTCAAGTCACAGTAAAGCCAAGAGCAAACATCTAGTCACGGTAAAGCCAAGAGCAAACATCAAGTCATGGTAAAGCCAAGAGCAAACGTCAAGTCACAGTAAAGCCAAGAGCAAACATCTAGTCACGGTAAAGCCAAGAGCAAACATCAAGTCATGGTAAAGCCAAGAGCAAATGTCAAGTCACGGTAAAGCCAAGAGCAAACATCTAGTCACGGTAAAGCCAAGAGCAAACATCTAGTCACGGTAAAGCCAAGAGCAAACATCAAGTCATGGTAAAGCCAAGAGCAAATGTCAAGTCACGGTAAAGCCAAGAGCAATCATCTAGTCACGGTAAAGCCAAGAACAAACATCTAGTCACGGTAAAGCCAAGAGCAAACATCTAGTCACGGTAAAGCCAAGAGCAATCATCTAGTCACGGTAAAGCCAAGAGCAATCATCTAGTCACGGTAAAGCCAAGAACAAACATCTAGTCACGGTAAAGCCAAGAACAATCATCTAGTCACGGTAAAGCCAAGAACAAACATCTAGTCACGGTAAAGCCAAGAGCAATCATCTAGTCACGGTAAAGCCAAGAACAATCATCTAGTCACGGTAAAGCCAAGAACAAACATCTAGTCACAGTAAAGCCAAGAACAAACATCTAGTCACGGTAAAGCCACAAGCAAACATCTAGTCACGGTAAAGCCACAAGCAAACATCTAGTCACGGTAAAGCCACAAGCAAACATCTAGTCACGGTAAAGCCAAGAACAAACATCTAGTCACGGTAAAGCCACAAGCAAACATCTAGTCACGGTAAAGCCAAGAGCAAACATCTAGTCACGGTAAAGCCAAGAGCACACGTCAAGTCACAGTAAAGCCAAGAACAAAAATCAAGTCACAGTAAAGCCAAGAACAAAAATCAAGTCACAGTAAAGCCAAGAGCAATCATCTAGCCACGGTAAAGCCAAGAGCAATCATCTAGTCACAGTAAAGCCAAGAGCAATCATCTAGTCACGGTAAAGCCAAGAGCAAACATCTAGTCACAGTAAAGCCAAGAGCAATCATCTAGTCACGGTAAAGCCAAGAGCGAACATCTAGTCACGGTAAAGTCAAGAACAAACATCTAGTCACGGTAAAGCCAAGAGCAATCATCTAGTCACGGTAAAGTCAAGAGCAAACATCTAGTCACGGTAAAGTCAAGAGCAAACATCTAGTCACGGTAAAGCCAAGAACAAACATCTAGTCACGGTAAAGCCAAGAACAAACATCTAGTCACAGTAAAGCCAAGAACAATCATCTAGTCACGGTAAAGCCAAGAACAAACGTCTAGTCACGGTAAAGCCAAGAGCAAATGTCAAGTCACGGTAAAGCCAAGAACAAACATCTAGTCACGGTAAAGCCAAGAGCAAATGTCAAGTCACGGTAAAGCCAAGAGCAAATGTCAAGTCACGGTAAAGCCAAGAGCAAACATCTAGTCACGGTAAAGCCAAGAGCAAACATCTAGTCACGGTAAAGCCAAGAGCAAACATCTAGTCATGGTAAAGCCAAGAGCAAATGTCAAGTCACGGTAAAGCCAAGAGCAAACATCTAGTCACGGTAAAGCCAAGAGCAAACATCTAGTCATGGTAAAGCCAAGAGGAAACATCTAGTCTCGGTAACCCCAAAATTCCACTACCTCCGCTCCGCTCCGCCCCCGCCTTCCGCAGCCGCTCATTTCCGAACTCAATTTTTCTTGGTACCCGCTCTACAACGGCTCCACTCCGGTGCGGAGACCTGAGGTGCGCAAACAGGCATGTGCGGGATTTTCGAGATCTTGCGATACAGTCCGAGCAATAAACGCGGAAGTTAGATCCAAACACCCGTTGTGTGGGAGAAGCATCGAAATGAACTGTTTAATCTGCCCATCATTTGTGTTGAGAGATCAGCAGTGTTTGGATCAACAACGTGTGACTACTTTGATAGTAGAAACTGTATTTATGGCTTACTTTTGTGCATTTAAACTTCAGCCACCATTGATAGTTGTTAAAGGTTGTTAAACCTGTGCATATGAAACAAAAACGCTTTTTGTTTATCGATTTATTGTGAAATAACGGAAGTTGTGCTTGCTCCCTTTCCTGTTGGGCGGTTGTGATTCCTGTCCATTGACTCCGGCAAAAATAGAATCGATCCTATTTTCGCCGGATGGCGGGCGGCGCATTGCGCCGCACGGCCGCAGCAGTGGAACAGCTCTGATTGACTACAACGGGACTGATTTTGCTGCGGAGTTCGTGCCGGAGCGGAGCGGAGGTAGTGGAATAAGGCCAGGAGCAATGACCTGGTCTGAGGGGGAAACTTTCGAGGTTCTTATGAAAAGTTTTTTGTAGATCCATACACTCTATATGTTTTTTCACAAAATACTCTGTGATTATTTTAAGTTTATTTAAGTTTAAGTTTATTTATTTGGCAAACGCTTTTATCCGAAGCGACTTACAGTTTATAACCTATAGGGCATGTTGATATCCGTGGGAGAAACCGGAGTATCCGGAGGAAACCCACACATGCATGGGGAGAACACGCAACACCACGCAGAAAGGCCGCAGCCGAGTTTCGAACCTGCAACCTTCGTGCTGCGAGGCAACAGTGCTAACCACTGCTCCACCATGCAGCCACATGTTATTAATCCCCATGGGATTATGTTAGAATCGTGTACAGAATACGTGTTTTACATATTAACTTGGAGTGGAAAATGTGTTTTCTTTTCACTCATCACTAGTTAACACCCTTTTTTTTCAAAGTTCATCTGTTGTTCCTTTTTTTGGTTGTGTCTGTTTCTTTTGTTCATATTTCTTTAATTCCCTAAGTCTTGCTAAAGTTAAAGTTTAATGTGTGATTGTTAATTTCAAGGTTTGTGAAATAACAGTTTTGTTCATTTTGACGAAATGAGATGTTTTAAGGAGATTTTCCCTTTGGAAGTGGCCCCACTATAACTAAATGTTAGTGAGCACCAGCAACTAACTCTGGAGACGTTTTCTCCCACGTGTCCAGTGGTACGCCAGGCTCACCTGGACATGACAAAGGAGAAGAAAATGATACAGTAGCAACAGCCATGTTGTCTAAAACCTCTTCTTTATGTGTGGAGCTTAAATGAGAAGGTTTACTTTATGATTCAAACTTTATTACACACAGAGGAAGACGGTCACGTGTCAGAATCGATCATTTATCAAGTCATCTGTTGATCTGTTCGATTTACTTCGGAAGTCCAAACTCAGAACTGGGAATCACGTCACACTCAAGTGTTCTGCTCACCTTGGTTGGAGAAATCAGGATTCCAATGTGGCGACGCCCTTGAAAACTGTTGTTTTGTCATCTTTCTGCAAAAACAGATGACCACTAAACACATATGCAGCCCACCCACAGCTTAGAGTTGCAAGCTCTACGTGTAACATTGATGGTTAACGCACTATTGAAAAATAAACACCTTTCAACCAAAACTTACTGTTGTTGATACAGAGAGCTACCCTATTGGATGTTCAGGTCGGGGTTTGGTAACACTTTACAATAAGAGCCTCTTCTATTAACGTAAGTGCATTAATAAAATATTTATGAAATTATTAACAACTGCTTCATCCTAAAATGTGATGCATTACTAAGCAGACACCCCCGCTGGCCCTTTGTCTTAGGGTTAACCCTAACCTTTATAAGTTTCCAACACTGGGAACGTTAATAAAGGGACCCCTTGTTTATTAATGCTTAATAATGCACTAAAGAACATTAATAAAGGAACCCTTATTATAAAATGTTACTCTGAGTTCTAAATTTTTTCCTGACTTTCCAGCTGGGAAGTCTGACTTTGTATCGGATCATTTTTCCTACTCGGAAGTCAGGATTTCCAAGTTCCAAAGACAAACCGGATGCACCATCAGCAACTACTTCTTCTCATCTTCTTCTTCACTTGTCTCCCTACCCAAGAGCTTTTCCTGCAACTAGTGGTTCAGTACACAACACTCATCTGGTCGAATCTAACTGTTGTTTCTTCAAACTGAGTTTGTTCTAGAAGCCATTGAAAACTGTTTTGTTATTACTGCAGCAAAAGAACATCTAAATGTGTTTGTTTTTCTGTAGATTGTAGAACATTTGAGTTATTTTGTACATTACAGGAGTGAGTTTATTCAAAGAAGGTAAACAAGTTGATGCGTGTGAGGAGGAGCAAAAACATACGGGTCCAACTCACTCTGACGAGGCATGAAGTGACCTTCTAATCCTCACAGGGACGTGTGTGTGTGTGTGTGTGTGTGTGTGTGTGTGTGTGTGTGTGTGTGTGTGTGTGTGTGTGTGTGTGTGTGTGTGTGTGTGTGTGTGTGTGTGTGTGTGTGTGTGTGTGTGTGTGTGTGTGTGTGTGTGTGTGTGTGTGTGTGTGTGTGTGTGTGTGTGTGTGTGTGTGTGTGTGCGTGTGCGCGTGCGCGTGCGCGTGCGCGTGCGCGTGTGCGTGTGTGCGTGCGTGTGTGTGCGCGTATGCGCATGTTAGATATTCTGCAACATTCTGCCAAGAACCATTAGACAACATGTTACACAGCAGAATGAACGCAGGACACGACAATATTGAAACGGACCGAACTCATGGGACATCGGGAACATGTTTGATTTTGTGTGCAGCTGAAACATCTGAGCAGAAATCTCAACGGTGCCAGCATTGCAGATTTAATTTTTCTATTTTGATCAACAGTTTATTCAAACACTTTCAATACAAACACATTTCACTCTTTATTTTCCAGTGAGTCGTATTAGACTTCCAGCTTTATTTCAGCTCAATTTTATGTTTAAACCACTTTTAATTTATGTTTATGTTAATGTTCATTTAAACATATTTTGCATCGCTTTCATAAAATGACCTTTCAAAGAAGATAAATGTTTTACAGTCTCGAGATTAGTTTATTTTTTTTCATGTTGGGATTTATTTAAACTCTAATTTAATTCCAAGCACATCAGCTGAATTTTATGCCAGACAGAGCACACCAATGAAAGCTTCCATATGTGTGGTCTATATGAGAACCATTGCGTGAATATGTTTCTTTCCTCATTTATAACTTTCATGCTCTTCACTTTCTCCGAGATGGAGTGGGACTCTTCATCCCTCTGCCTGCTGGTGCCTTCGGGGGAGCGGGGCTGGGAGTCGATGTGGTGGGCGCTGCGCTGGCAGGCTGGATTTTAGGCTGTGGGATCTCGATGGGGAGTTTAGGAGGGATGATCGTTTTAGGGGTGAAAGCTGGTTTTGCCTCAGGGATTTTCTCCCCGTGGCGGTACACACTGACCTGGACAAGGAAAGAAAGACAGGAACAGAACGTTAAAGTGTGATGTTCAGACCTTTTGAAGTGGAGTTCTGAGGAAAAGTTATGAACATTTAATTTCTTACCTATTGTGTATAGCTCTTTGATCAAGATCGGTTTGGATGATAGAAATAAGTTCTGACTGGATTGACAGGCTAATGGCTAGTTTGAGTGTTGCCAAAATTAAACTGAATATTAAACATTTCAAAACAAGCGAATCTCAGAAACATCAAACAAGGTAATGAAAATGGTATTTTAAATATTTTACATTATTGAATTTGCCTTGCACATTTGTTAAAGAAATATTTTATATAATCCTACTGGAAGAAGTAATGGAAGCACTTGAGCTAGCTGCATGCTGCTGTTAACTGTGCACGTAATCACAACATGCTATGCAAATAATTGCTGCAAAACTTATATTCATGTAGGTTTTTTTTTTTTTTTGGAACGTGTTTGTACAAACTCCACTGTGTTATATCTGTGTGCCAAGCAGCGGCGGCTTACAGTGGTGCTTTGTCGTAATGTAGTCCCAAGTCTTAATCGGCTCCTGAAAATCCTTCGTGTTACTTCTTACATTTCATTTGCAGTTGACATGATTAATGAGCTCACCAGGAATAATTTGTATCCTTATTGAATCATTTTAATCACTTTTGCGCACAAAATGCTAGTTTCTGCTGCTCATGTCCATTGTTTATGCTAAGCTAAAGCAGACAGACTGCTGCCAGACCAGAAGAATTACTGTAACCAGGTTACAAAATGCTTTTATCTCACTTATCTAACTCTGGGGAATGCATAAATAGACAAAATTTCACTTAAGGGTGGAATATCCCTTCAATCTGTGATTGGCCAATCTGAAACTCAAAACTCACAAAAAAAAATTATGTTTGCTTGTAAATTCAAGATTGCAAAGTAGCAAAAAAAATGTAGCCTGGCCTGCTAGACTCCTCCTCTGTTTAATTCTGCACAGAGAAAGAGTCTGGTTACTCACAGGCAGAGAGGCACAAGAGGGGCGGGACTAGGCAGCTCAAAAACAATCAATCAGAAAACAGACGGAAATGCAGACTGTACCGCGTGACGCTGTAGGTTTTTAGCTGTAGTAAAAAGAAGGCGTCTGGTGACAGCGCAAACATGGAAAGAGCCGCAGTGAACTCCGCCGCTGTCTTCGTTGTTTATGAGAAACTGAGCGACGCTGTGTGTGACGTCCGTGATGCTGTAGTTTTTTTGCTGTAGTCAACAATGGCGTCTGGTGACAGCGAAAACATCTTTCTTTAGACGAAAGGCTTTTAGCGCTTCTACTTGTTGTTTTAAAGACATACAAGTCATTTAGAACAGAGGAAAGAGCTGCAGCGAACTCCTCTTCGGTCGCCATGTTCGACAAACTCGGTGTTGTGGAGTGTTTATTTATTTGTTTATTTGATCCCCATTAGATTCCATAGTGTGTGACATACGCTACTCAGCGCTGATTGATTGGCTCGGTTAGAATTCTCAGGGGGTGGGGTTATTTGAATAAGAGAGTCCCCAGACCCTTTCTCTGCGCAGAATTAAACAGAGGAGGAGTCTGGCAGGCCAGGCTAAAAAAAAATATATATTATTTTCTTAAAATTTTCTAAAATTGGGCCTTCGGACCTTTCCAATCAAATCAATGTAAAAAAATAAAATCCATGTATGTTTGCATCAATAATAAAGTATGTAGTTTTAGATCCATACATCTTTCATGGAACACTAAACATGTTGAGTTTTAAGTAAAGAAAAGAAAATCACTTTTTGCACTGAAGCCCACAAATGAATTATTGTGACAAAGAGTCCGTTGCAGCTATAAAAACTAAATAACATAAAGTCAGGCAAAGGACAGATAAGATTGGAGCTGCAGACAGCCTGAACATTTTCATGGCTTTGAGTAAATCCTGTAATTTGTGATACACAACAGAAACACTCACCACTATATCCACAGACTCCCCTCCGTATTTGTTCTGGACAATCATTGCATATCTGCCAGAATCCTCCATGGAAACACCTTTGATCGTCAGGCTAGCAAACTTTCCCTGGTCTATGGAGACCACGTACTGAAAGAAAAAACAAATGTAAGACTAAACGACTAAGATAGACCACAAATGAAGGAGGTAATGGTAATCTAATACTAAACAGAGTTGTTTTTTGTTCTGGGTTGCCACGTGGGCTAACGGTGCTCTATGGATCCTGTTGTTGGAATTAAAATGTAGTTTTTAATCTTGTAAAAATACATGGTTGCAGGTGGTTCAGGGAGCGTGTGTTTGCTCTTTGTGCATCTTGAGACCAAATTATAATCTGACGTTTGTCGTGTAAGGCTGCAGACCAGAAAATAGCTGGTGTTTTACCCTTTTTAGCTATGCACTTTCAAATGTTTTTATGGAGAGAAAGGCACATGTAGCAGGGCATTTACTGCCCTAATCAGAGCTGTGCTAGCCCTCATGAGGCAATAAAAAAGAAATATGGCCATTTATGAGCATGAAACGTGTATATTTTTTATTAGACCAATGCAAGTCTTTTTGTTATCCTGCCTTTCACTCTTTCTCTGGATTTATGAGTAATAAAATTAAGCTTTTGCTTGACTTTCTTTGCATGTGATTATCGATCATTTAAAACATGCATGATTTTTTTACTGTTTAAACGTTTGCTTTTACTTGCATATTTCAACTTTGAGTTTCAGACCAACATTCACTGAATCTGTACACACATCCGTCTGTGTCTTCCTCTTATCTTTGTCTCTTCTCTAGCATCTGAGCTATAGGGGAGAGGCAGCCCTTGGGTTCGAGAAACGCGTCACCAAGGACCCTCGTTCTCTTTATAGACAGATTTTTAGCAGATGAGGGATGGATGAAGGGGAGGGAAATTCCTCCCAGACCAAACATTCTAGTCTTCAAAGTTGATAGAAGCTGTTAGAATAGTCTCCTGTTCTCAGGAAAGGCTGGTTAGCAAGTAGGTCACAACAGTAGGAGGGATGGATTCGCTGACCTCCAAAACAAGCAGAATTCTTCTTTTTTAATATTTTATTCAATTTAAATTGTTGTCATCTTTATTAGTGAATGCCCCCCCCCCCCCCCCCCCATAATCCATCATCTTATCTGCTGGGAGACACCTCTGTCATTTCTCATCAGAAAATGACTTGCTGCTTGAATAAAAGTAACTTAAAGTCAAAATTTGCCTAATCTGAAAGAGAGCAAACACTTTTTAACAACAATGAATTTGCATAAGTTGAAGCACTCAGTGAAGAGTCACAGACTGGCTGCTATGAGGGCCTAGGAGACTACATACTGTCCAGTAATCAGTGTTCCGATCCAGTGTGGTTCGGATTATTTGTTCTGACTTTATGAGTTGAGAGTAGAAACAGCTAGTTATTGCAGTTGCTGCTGTCAGCTCTATTTTGACAGAGTCAGCTCTGATCTTTATGCTCTCTGAGTGACTCCTGTGACTGTGGGACATATTTAAATGCATCCAAAGTCATCCCATAACACCACATAATCCATCAGGGTTTGTACTGAGTGCAGAAACTTCATCGGCCCGGCTCAAATTCAACCAACACCCTGTTGTGTTGGATCAATAAAATGATTATCTAGATCAGGGGTGTCAAACTCATTTTAGCTCAGGGGCCACATTGATGGAAATCTAGTCCCAAGTGGTCCGGACCGGTAAATTAAAAACAACTTCAGGTTGTTTTCTTTGTTTTAATACAATCAATATAAAACAAAGCTTGAGCCTGAGGACAGTGTATCCAAAATAGTACAAGTACAACATCTGAAGTGTACTTAAAAATTTGAAAAAAAAAAAAAAAAAAATCAATAAATAAATAAAAACATTCCTTAGTGATTCAAAGAGCTTACAGATCACATGACTAGATCAGTTTCACGCAGCATGTAAAGTATATTTGACTAATTTTACCTAACATCTTTTAGCTTTCACCAGCACATCAATATCAGAAGTCACATCCTGAGTGGCGGCCAACTTCAGGATGTGATTCAAGTTCTTGTGTGAGCCTTGAGCGCAGCTTTGTTTTATTTGCACTCATTACAGAGGAAACTTGCTCACAAAGATAAGTTTATTTTCACTCTACATTGTGGGCCGCATATTTGACACCCCTGATCTAGATGAAGGAGGTGGGCTAAACGCCTCAAAGCCAGAGTCAGGAGAAGGATTTGGCAGGTAGGAGTCAAACACACAAGACTTACATACTGCCACGTATGAGTTAAACACATTAAGTGGAATTATTCTGAGTAACAGTGTCAGGCGATTACCTGGTCATCAGGTTCAACATCAGCTCCATTCTTCAGCCATGACACCTGAGGCTTGGGGTCTCCACACACTGTACAGGTTAAACTCAGGGTCTTCAAAAGAAGAACTTTTTAGAAGAGAGCTGACAGACTTATCTCAGCAAAGATGAAGACACTAACCTTCTTTTCCATAATAGTGACAACATCAGGCAGTCCTCCGACAACCTTACCGCGGTCTGAAACAAACCATCGGTGAGATTATCACTCAGATTGTGTCTTTAAATGAAGAAATATCAAACTAAGAAATGGTTCAATTTGAATGGCTCACTCTTTTCAGCATAAGCCTCGGCCCTGAAACACAAATAAATGTTTAATTAAGACAGAACATTATTGAATTAGCTTTTTAAAGTTAATGTTACAGATAAAATAAAATATAACGATTCAATTGCTGCAGTCCTGTACTTGGCTCAGTTTGAATACTGGTCAGATTGATTATCAGGAGGAGCTCTTGATTTAGAGCCAAATCACAATTACAGAGTTTCCTAAATCTTTCTGCTTGGAAAAAAAAAGTAAGAAATGAGGGTGAGGGCTGTCACAGCAGCGTGGCAGGACCAGAGGTCATAGCCACCAGACCAGATGGCTGGAGGAACTCTGTTCTCATCTTGGCTAGTTGATGCTTAATCAAAAGGGAAGCAGGGTGTCACTTGTTTCAGTGTTTGTAAAAATCTTGCTCGTAAACGTCTCTCTTTGAACGGTAATTAGAGAAGGGATTTGGATGGTGTCTACTCTGCATGCAGTGGAGTGTTTGAAGCTTTCTCTCTTTGTTGGGCTCTTTTTTAAACTTATGTACCAAATTTGCATGGGGTTTGCTTTAGTCCAATTAGTTATAAGACCACATACGTTGTGTTACCAGACTGTTTTTTTTTCTGTACATTTTACTGAACCTTTTCCTTGACAAGCTCAGAGATTGTGAATTTATAAAAGGTTTTAAATGTATGGTTTATATAAATGTGTCCTAGAAGGAGTTTGTTTTTTACAACTGGAAATTGTTCTTTGAGTCTCCATATGGCATAGGAAATTTTGTTCGGACTCACAATAGCCCAGGAGTTCTTACATAGGGCCAACCACCACCCCATAATGACAAGCGCATCAGGCTGTGGAGAGTGAGTTAGCAAACGAATGAGGAAGAGGACAAGGACTGCAAGCTGTGGATCTGTCTGGCATTTTAATAAGTCTGGATGTCCCTGGGACACCTGGAATGCAGGTGGAGTTCCAACATTCTTCTTTGCTGATTTTCTCTCATCCAACAAAGACATTAGCGGTAGCTTAGTGTTAACGGCTAGTGTTAGCAGTAGCTCGAGCTAGCGCTGTACTGCAGTTATCATCATTGTGATAAATGTTCACATATTGCTGACATTGGAGTTGGTTGGTACAAGCAAACTTAAGGGTGTGTGTCTAAGCTGATGAGGTGCTAAAGCAGCTTTTCTCAGAATGAATAGTTTCTAAGTGGCCATTACAACATTACTAATTCATATAGACCCGTTGGAATGAGCCCCCGCCTCCCAGTTACTCGCTGGAGGGCAAGATGACGAGTTTATAGGTTTCCAGTTGAAAAATACACCAAAGGTAAAAGTGAACAGCCATGAAGAGAGTTCAACATCCACATCATGGCTGCCAAAGTCTCACGGCAGAATACAAAAGTAAAGTATCTGCCCATGTCCAAATACAAACAAGTCATAGCCAGTTAATGACTTGAATGCCTTCTTAACCGGTTTAAATTCATTTCTTTTAATCATACAAAATGTGTTCTGTAATTCGAGGTGCAGCCTTAAATGCTGTTCATTTTGTGTTTTACTGAGCATGCCACGTATGTAACATGAATAAAACTGCTGTCCCTCCCGAGACCTTCCCACATGCTCCTGTGTTGTGGGAGAGGACTTGGAGGCTCTAATGTAGTTTGTTTCGTGCTTCTGTTTACGGCGCTCGTCTCAGTTAATGGAAAATATTTTAATCTCCGAAGATGAACTGTGTCACAGCCATGGACATAGTTTAGACTTTAGAAGTTGGGGGGGGGGGGGGGGGGGGGGGGACAACTTGCGAGAACCGGGTGGATCTCTACAGGCTTCAACAGCAGTGGTTGTTTTCCACTTGGTCCTAGTGCTCAACCAGTGTGTATTCAATGTGTATTCAATACAGAGTGATATTGGTAAAAAGTGCAGGGAACAAAAGTTGGCTTTGGAACAAGTGTGTGTGTGTGTGTGTGTGTGTGTGTGTGTGTGTGTGTGTGTGTGTGTGTGTGTGTGTGTGGTGTGTGTGTGTGTGTGTGTGTGTGTGTGTGTGTGTGTGTGTGTGTGTGTGTGTGTGTGTGTGTGTGTGTGTGTGTGTGTGTGTGTGTTTGGGGGGCATGTTCCCCCTGCAACCCCCCCTCCCCATGGTCAACTACGTCCATGGTCATCCAAGGCCGATCCTTCAACATTAACCCTCAGAGTGAAGAGGAGAGCCAGTCACACCTTTGTTGCTTCAGTTGTGTGAAGTCCAGACGGCCTCCACAGCTCATTAGCTCTTTCAGACAGGTGTGGAAGCTTTGCGCTAAACTCTGTTGACTTTAAGATGTATTTATTTTAACATCTGCACAAATATGTGTTAGACGATCTAAAGTAGTAACATCTAAAGCCCTAGGTTTTATTTTGTTAGCTTAAATTGCAGAGATACACCTCTGGAACACCTGAAATATGAAGCTAAATCTATATGAGAAGAGAATATTGATTTTATTATTTAGTTTCCGAAGTAATTAAATCTGCTAAATTAGCCCGGATTCACGCGGGCGTGTTCAAAATAGCATCTACTTTATTTTCTCAACTGCAGCTCTAATAGTCTTAAACTTTTTCAGGACACTAAAACCTCAAGGTTCAACTTGAAGTTACCTCACTAAGCCCTAAGTCCTGCTTTGTAGTTCAGCCCACCCCCTGTTCTCAACCCTCCCCGATCCTTCCACCACCCTATCAGTCTGGTATTACATGCAGAAAACAGCAGACCCTGAGACAGCCTAAATCCACCAAAGACTTGCGGCCCGAGGGAATGTCAAAAGAGATCCAAGAGGTGAAGGCTGAGTGGAGGCAGGCACGCCGAACATCTACAATATTCAGGAGAGGCAATAGAAGCAAGGATTCACACTGAACTGAGGGATAATACAGAGAGTGGCAGGTGCACTAATACTTTTTTCACTGACTAGACAAACTGAAAGGCTGAATCCAGGCTGCATCTCAAAAACATATATGTGTATAAGTTGAACCTAACTCAGTCAAAAAAGAAAAAAAATAGTTTAGATTTAGAGATAAAAATGTAAATCACTCAAATTCTGGCATATGTTGTGTAGTCGAGCCATATTTGTCTGTACATGAACATAAAGCATCCTGGGAAATTATTCCTTCGTGCTACTGAGTGTGAAATCTGAAGCCATGAGACAAATGTGGTGGAAACTGTTACTGAATGTGCACATTAAGGCGATGTTTCACAGGACAGACTTACTTTAGTTTCTGGAACTCGGCGTATGCTTTCTCATATGCTGTGAAGAAAGACAAATAAAGTGGAAAGTCATTGCTGCTGTTCAGACACTCATTTTTATGGTAAAACATGAGAAGAAACAAGAAATCTGTCTTGCTAAAAGTTTTAAAAAGCGTTTAAACTGCATTTATTTGCTCCATTATGAACTAACAGAAACGGGTTGAAATGATGCAACATGAAAGTAATACATTTATCAAATATGTCTAAATTAATGTAGACATAATGCACCTTCTGCAACTAAACATACTGGAATGCACTGATTTTAATCTAACTGCAGGTTTATTTATTTATTTATTTTAAGGTTTCGTGAAACATGTAAAGAGTGTTTCAGATTCCAGGCAAGGTTTCTTACTGAAACAACTCAAGAGCACCAAGAAACAGTTTTTTGCTTGTTATTTTCAACTATGATCCGTCACAGTTTAACACGCAGGCTAAATGTGAAACGTCTTCCACCCCTATTTCTTGCATTAGCCGCAGACAGAAAATAGAAAAGGATGGTAAATGGTCTGTATTTGTTTAGCACCTTCTTAGCATCCTACAACCCTCCAAGGTGCTTCACAAAACAATCAGTCATTCACCCATTCATTCGCACGCTAGTGATGATGAGCTACGATGTAGCCACAGCTGCCCTGGGGCGCACTGATGGAAGAGAGACTGCTGAACACGGGCACCACCGGTCCCTCCGACCACCACCAGCAGGCAAGGCAGGTTACGTGTCTTGTCTTGTCGACGGTGGCACAGGAGTTAAGTGCTCGCCCCGTAATCGGAAGGTTGCAGGTTCGAGCCCCGCTCAGTCTGTCGCTGTCGTTGTGTCCTTGGGCAAGACACTTAACCCACGTTGCCTGCTGGTGGTGGTCGGAGGGACTGGTGGCGCCAGTGCTCGGCAGCCTCGCCTCTGTCAGTGCGCCCCAGGGCAGCTGTGGCTACGTCGTAGCTCATCCCCACCAGTGTGTGAATGTGTGTGTGAATGGGTGAATGACTGATTGTGTTGTAAAGCGCCTTGGGGGGTTCCAGGACTCTGGAAGGCACTATATCAAATACAGGCCATTTACCATTTTTGTCCAAGGACACAAACAGCAGCATTCTCTGGTGGGAGCCGGGATCGAATCTGCAACCTTTTGATTGTTGACAACCCCCTCTACATCCTGAGCTACTGCTTTTCTACTACGCTCAGATTAGAAAAGCTTGTTAATTGCATGTCACATCATTAGCATTCATTAAAAATTAGCATTCATGGACTTCCATGTTGTCATTCTTTTAAAAAACACAGAAACGGTTTTGTTACCTGTTATTGACGCTACAGTTTCGCCGACGGCTGCCGGCTTCTTCAGGTTGATGTTGGTGAAACTGTAGCGTCAATAACAGGTAACAAAACCGTTTCTGTGTTTTTTAAAAGAAAGACAACATGGAATTAGAAGTAACGCACAGCAAGAACACACCTAAGATATTCATGGACTTGCCCGGGAAGGCTGTTTTTAAACATCCAAGAAGCATGTTTTGGCTAGTAGAAGCTAACTTTTAGCATTAGCAACCCCACAACATGGCAGAACTCCTTCAGGCTTGGGTTGTAAGTGGAGATAAAACATCAATGTTGCAAACCAAAAGGAATCAGTGGTCAAGTCGCATTGCTGTAATCCAATCAGAGGTGAGATGTCAGATTATCAGGAAATAATTCTTCATATCCCGCCGTCTCCTGCTTAGCTCTCCTCTGGCTGACTTCTACTTCTTGAAAAAGGAGCACTAGACCTTTTGTCCCCCACAGAGATGACTCACAAGGCAGTCATTTATACTAGAGACCACTGCAAACGTGTTGAAAGGCCTGAAACTTTAAAGAGACCATACTGTCTCTATAGTCCTGCCTGCTGAAGTATAAAAACAACTGTAATGACAACAATTAACGATGATGCGGAGAGGGGACTCACCATCACCGCTGAGGTCCAGGGTTCGTTTATGTGAGTTCTCAGAGTTGGTGATTACAATAGAGTACAATCCTTTATCCTTGTCCGTGGGCTCAACCACCTGAGAATCAATGAACCAGTGAACACAGCCGGGCAATGGTGTTTTTACATCATAAAACCACTTTTATGCATATTTACTCTGCAGAAATTGTCCTACCTCCATTGTTGCCATAGCAGGAGTTCCTCCAATCACAATCTTCTCACTGTGGGCGAGTCTAGACTCGCTGAGAGGTAAGAGAAGACACATGATGTTAGTGTGTGAGTGTGTGTGGTGTTGTCTAAGAGAAGCTTGCTTCAAAGGTAAATGGTAAAGCATGTTAACATAACTCCTTAGTGATAAACACTCCCAGAAAGGCAGTGGGGATTAAAAAAAAATAACCTAATCCCCATCGGTTGTGATCCTTTTAGTTTATTCTTCTTGTTTTTGTCTTTTTCTATCCTACTTTGTTCTTTCCACTTATTGTCCAACATCCTCCCTTCTCCATTTTATAATCTCCAGGGTAAGACGGCATGCTTTTAAGTGCAGAGAGCCTCGCGTTTTATTGAAAATGATATGGGTTTGATTTCTGTCACAAAACAGGACAGCGTTTACTGCTCTAACCAGGGTAATAAAAACACGTGCCAGCAGCTATCACAAGTTTTATACGACCTTTTGTTTTGGCCACTCCTGGCAGTTTAACTTGAGAGGAAAGCAAAATAAAGGCCTGTTGGTCTCCATGTTTATGAGAAAAGTCTCTGTTCGTTTACACTACTTGTTATAGATTGTGTTTTTATGGCGGTAATAATCTCACAAATTACGTTTCTTACCCGTGAAACCAGGTGATGTTCATCTCGGAGGTGTAATACTTCATGCGACACTGAAGCTGAATGCCGGTTGCGGTGCACTTAATCACCAGCTCTTCAGCGCTGGCTCCTAAAGGAGATGATGGAGCACATCTAAAATCAAAATTAAATACCATCTTCTGCTGAACAACCTGCAGTAGGAGATTAGACGTGCACGCTACTCGTTTTTTAATTACCTAACTGATTTTCTCTGGATGGAAAAAAGAACTCTTCCATTAAGGGAAGTTTGCAGATCCCCCTTTATATGTTACCTTTATCTCATTTGTGAGGTAAAATTGGCCTAATGAGTAGCCGGCACACTGCATGTTGCATCCCGTATAAAAGCAGTGACACCATGAGAGGTTTTACAACCTTTTTTTTGAAGCCATTACTCATAAAAGGCTCTTTCCTACTACACAATATCTGCGTGGAACTTTGCTCGCTGCACATTACAAGTGGACAAGTGTGTCATCCACCTGGTCACATCACCATGGTTTCCTATTATCGCAGTAATGAACCCTCTTCTCCTCTGTAACTGCGGCTGTAACAGTTGCTGCAGAGCTGTCAAGTGAATGTCGCTTAAAATCGGAGGAAGATGCTGCTCTACTCTGTCAGTGTGACAGCGGAGTGGAATTTTAAAGTGATTTCAGCACATGATGGCCAAATGCTTCCTGCGTGACAACTTCTGCCACACGCTGATGAGTGTGTGTGTGCACGTGCTGCAGTAGGACTTTAAAGTAGAAACATGTCAGCCTGTTGATGGATCTACTTAATCTCTTATCGCTGCGCTGTGATTTCTCCATGTTAAATTCACATAATTTGAACCGGATCCCTCGGGGGGATAGAAGATGATCCCCGTGATGTTTGGTTATTTGTGTGTGTTCACCTCTGTGCATGTGAATAGAAGGCAGACACCTACCAGCCAGCTGGCTGAGCTTGTTTATGGCATCCTCAAAAACTAAAGGAGAGGAGGAGAGAGACAAAGTCAGGGAAAGTGTCAGGATAAAAAGATGCCACGCTGCCCTCTTGAGGATGCATTTGAGTCGTGATGTCTCTAGTTCCTCAGATACACATGTTTATTATTCCATGGCTAGTCTCACTATAAATATCTGCATTCAGACAGCAAAACAATTTAACTGTCTTCCGTAAAATATTAACAATGTTCCTTAAGATTGTATTGACTTAAAGGGACAGTGTGTATTAACCCTGGCAACAGGGAGCAGTACATACCTGAATCATTGCAAGCAAAGCAACATTTTCATGTTCAATTAAGACCTTACCAACGGATGGCCATTAGGGTCAAAAATCCCTGGGAGTGCAACCTCCAGCAAAATAACTAATACACCAGACTTCCTTTCATCACTGGCAATGAGTGAAGAGGTAAATGTGTAAAACTAAAATGTTTATGAATAGTGAAACATTTTGAACCGTTTGTTGCAAATCAGTAAATACATTTTGTCCTAATGCTCTCCCGTAGAAAGAAACCCAGCATCTAAAATGGCGTCACCCAGAGACTTAGACCTGCTCCCATGTACATTAGACCAGGTTTATTTGGTTATATGTTACAAAGCTGCCAACATTTTTCAGCAATTGAGCATCATTTAATTCATTTTTGACAACATTTTGATGGATATTTCCAGAGATTAACAGTAAAAACCACACACGGTCTCTTTAATAATAACACCTCATAAAGCATCTCAATGCAACATACCTTATTATAAATTGATAGTGGTTCATAAAGTCTCTACTATACTTTACAGCAGAATAAAGTTGAATAATTAAATGGTTTATTAGCTGTGGTGTGCATTAGCTGTATTTATTTATGAGCACCCAGATGTTTGTGTCTTTTTTATTGGCTATTTTCTGATGGTATTTATGCTTTGGGAGCAAAGCAACTAGTACTGAAAGTGATTACTCTATAGATGAAATGTGAAATTAAAGAAGAAAAATGTTCGTACTTTTTCCCTTGACATCGATTTGGCTCATATCTTTTCCTCTGTCGTCACTTATGGTGGCTTTATAAACTCCTGTAGTCTTCAGGGAAAACTGGGGGAGGAACATGGAGAAAAAGGATGTCTTTGTATCTGCCTTCAATTCTAGAGTTTAAAAAATGTAGTCTTTCCATGAACTATGCCTTTGAGGAATTGTGATATTTGTACAGAACTAACTTTCCAGTACCAAAGCACATCTAAAGAGTAATTCTGTAGATTTTAAAAGAGAAAAGGTGACCATGTGTACCTACTTCTTTAATCGGCAGCTTGCATACTCCTGATCCGAGGTCTGGCTTTACATCAGGGATAATCTCTGTGTCGTCTTTATACCAGTGGAACGCCGATTCCTTCTTTAAGTTAGCAACCTTTCAAATAAAGCAAAACATGTTTTTACTAGTCATTTTAAGTTTTCAGACTTTATTCTTAATACTAACTCAATATGTAGTCGCAGATGTCGATGAAAGACATTGAGAAGACGAGTAAATCTGCCCGTCCATGAAGCCAAGCTTTGCATGATAACTCATCTGACCAATGACAACCAGTTACAGAGCTCTGCTAGGCCGTTTAACAATTACTCAAAGTCATTAAAGCTCTTGACTGGTGACTCAATCTGGCTTTCTCTTATAGTTGGTCTCACTTGGTCAGGACCACTTGGCATCACATTATCCTTCAGATGTCTGTCCAAACTTTAACTGAGTTTAAAGATGCTGATTTTTGGATGTCAGCCTTTCAGTTCACGCCAGTCTAAAAATCACATTACTGTTCTCAGCAGGACTGGTGGCCCAGTAACTTCCTGTTCATCATAACCTGTGGTTTCTGGCCATCTGAACAAATGTGTCTGAGGTAAACATTTTACAG